TATTTTATATTTACTTGGGAATAGAAAGATAAATTGTGTAATGAGTCAGAAATGCTTCTTGTGTGGGAATATTCAGACAACTACTTCTTGTGTGGGGATATTTGGGCTGTTTTAGATGTCACAGAATTTGTCCTATGACTTCAGAATTTGGCAACATTCTTGGATTCAACCATGGTCCTGGATACTCAAATAATGGTTGGATTTCTTTATTCAGATGAGAATTTATATGCCACTTTACAAATCACATAGTTGCTTATATATCTTAATTATATCTAGGTTGGATATGAAGCTATTTTTGAAAAAAATGAAAAATCCAAATAGTTCAAAACACAGCAGGATTTCAAAGTTGCTTCCAACTGAGCCAAATTTAAAAAATCATAGAAACCAAACTCAGTTAAATGCAATAATATAAATTAATACATCCCTGATAGATATTTTCACTTGGATATATTCATTGAACCAAACTGAACTAGGAATCAGTCCATTCCTTTAACCTGAACATTTTGAATTTTCTTTTTGACTTCCAAAGTATGAGCTATCCACCCAACTGCAAATATGACAATCATTCCTCCCATATTCTCATTCAAGTTATTCATTAAAAATTACAGAAAACTACATTACCCTTGTGGTAGTATTAGATTTTCTCTACCAGTCTGATGAAGAAGTTTTAATGAATACACTTTGAGTACCATTTGCTATCCAGCTGTGTTTTCACTTAGTTGTCATGCCATCCATCCAGCACTTAACTAGCTTGTTAATCAGAATGCCATGGCTAGTTTGTCAAATGCTTTACTTGAATTCCATCTACAGTATTCCCACAATCTGCTAAGAAAATCATCCAATCAAAAATTGAGATAAGATGGATCTGGCAAGACTTTTTGTTGCCTAATCCATGCCTAATTATTGCATTGCTTTCAAGGTGCTTATTACTCAGTCTGTTTATGAATTATTATAGAAACTGTTCTGATATCTGTTCCATTGCTTCTCTATTCCTCTGCTTTAGCCTTAGGGGTAATATTTTTTTGCCTTCAGCTGTCTGGCATTTTATCCTTAAAAATGGAAAATTAAGATTTGCCCAGAGCATCTTCTATATTTTATAAAATTAATCTGGAGATTTCTGTTTCTTTAAAGAGTTATTTCTGTTTAAAGTTGAAGTCTTCTGTGTGTGCACATGGTTGTTTCTGAGAGCAGCATACTATTCTGAGCAATGATTAATGAATCAGCTTTTATAACTATAACTGAAAGGAGATTTATTCACAGGAAGTGCATGATAGAGACAGGTAAAGTCTATTACCTGAGTACCTAGAATTTCCTTACGTTTCACTAAAATACTTCTCATCATGAGATGATGGCAGATACTTATTAGGAACCTTCAACAGTTGAATGAAATTGTGGATATGTTCATGAGCTAATACCAAAGGGAGTTGGGGGTCCAAATCCAATGGCATTGTTTCTTTAACATCTCATTATCTATCACCAGAATATGACAATAGGTAAAAATTTACTTTGTCCCCGCATCATTTAGCACTGAGCCTGATTTGTTATCTGCAAGATTGCTAATCTAAGGTCTTTCTTCCCAGGTTTATAATATATTTCCTATACATAAACCTCTTTTCTGCTAAAGTAGTAAAATCTGCTTCACTAATCCTTGCTCAGGTCAGACTAATTCTCAAGAATACTTAGACATCCAGTCAGAATGTTTCAACTTCAACAATTCTGTAACATGTCTCGATTTACCTTGAATTTCAGTCCCGACCTGTCCTGTCCCTTCATCCTATAGTTCACAGCTGACTGGCAGAACTTATTCCATAGGAAATGAGTAGTTCTGCCTTTTCTTTGTTTTGTCTTTCTTTAAAGAATGAATGTTACCTTCATTAAGAGACTGGATTCCTCTTCTTATAAGAAGGGTTTTTTAAAATCTCTTTGCCAACAAGCCTCAGTTCATTCTGAGCTTTAGCTTTTCTGATACCATAGAATTAACTCTGAACAGCCTGTAGGCTATGTCCTACACAGGTTATTTTTTTTCTTCAGATTCTCGATAGTTTTTTTTTTTTTGTACAGCATATTGTTTTCTTCTACTGTCTTCTATTTTTACTCTTCGTTGGAACTTTTTGCAATTGTGCTTTTAGGATCTTCTTTTTAAAGAACTTCCAACATCTGTCTTTCTTCCCTCTCTGAAAGAGCAAAAAACCAAGGAATTTCCTGAAAGGACTGCTTGGCAGAGTTTATATTCCAACATATGTTGGGGTAATTAAAATCTGCTATTACTGTACTTTATGCCTCTTTCACAGACCTGGCTCTGAACCAGTGGTGGGATTCAGCCAGTTCTCACCACTTCAGGAGAATCGGTTGTTAACTTTCTGAGCAGTTTGGTGATCTGGTTGTTGGAAGAAATCATTAGGGCAGAGAACCGGTTGTTTAATTATTTGAATCCCACCACTGCTCTGAACCTACTTTGAATAATGGAGATGATTGTAAAATCATGAATAAAAACATCACGGCATGTTTAGAAAGTGTAATGAATGAATTTGCTTATCACCTAAATTAGTAATCTTAATCTGCCAAGTTTCTCTATTGCATATGATGTTACTTTTGAATGGAACTGGCTGAGATCAGTTTGTGGCAGCCAACCACCATGGTAACAAAATATATTAAAGTACACAACTTTTGCTTGTTCATTAAATTCTGATACTATAATATGTTGGCTACCCCAATGGAAAGAAAGAAGTGTTGCCTCAACTATCATTTGAAAATACCACAACTGCCCAAATGTGAGTAAAATAATAAAATAATTTTCCAAATAATATTTGGACAATATTTGGAAAATAGCAACTAAAATTTTGCATATCTTCAAAAGAGAAAAGTTTTTTTAAATACACTTAAGTGTACTTAAATAAATTTAAATATAACTTAAGTAAAGAATTTGTTTTATGACTTTCAGGAAAATAATTTTGATATAACTATGTTGTTTAATCCCATTTCATTTATGGACATATTTCCCATTTTATTTACTTCATGAAATGAAGTAGGTTGCAGAAGGTAAACAGTAGTAGCAGAAAGTAAACATTTTAATTAAAATATAAATGATAATAATTGACACCTTAGGAATTAATAAATTGAGTTAGACCAGAATTAGACATTTTCAGTAAATAGATCACTTTGTTTACTACTCAGACATGAAAAATAAAAAAGAAATAGAGTTACTTTTATAGTGATATCTGTAAAGACACTGAAGATGGAAACAGACAGAAAAAGACAAGGAAAATCTTCCAAAAGATCTCTATATTCAGAAGGAGATTCCATTCTTGAATTGGAATGCTAAAGAACACCAATAGTAACTGATTCAAAGAAGTTAAAAGAAAGATAGAAAGAGTGAAATATTGTACAATAAAGGTGTCAATATCCAAAATCCTCATCATCATCATTAGATCCTGCAAAGCACATTGGTCAGCAAGTCTTTTCTAGCAGTTTCAATCATTTGCATCTTTGCCATCATTCCAAGGGTCATTCATAAACTTAAGATGTTCCTTAAGTGTTTGGCACCAAGTTTGGCATCAAATCTATACCAAAAAATTGATCCAATGAACATGGAGCTAGATTACCATCTCAATCACTGATTTAAACTGGTAGAGATACTTCAGAAGAGACTTCATGAACAAATAGGGACACTTGGGAATAAACTAACAATACTAGGAAGAGCGACTATCTAAAATGACTAGGAATGACGATGAAGATGGTGTGGTTGACATTACACTTTTTAAATAGGGTGATTTACATTACCTGGCATCCTATTTTGGCAGAAGAGTAGGTTCATTGGCATTCATGCAAGCAAGTCATAATCATCCTCCCTCCCCCCCCAAAAAGTAGTAATCTGCCTTCAGGGAGTTTGTATATTTGCAAAGGGATGCTGAAATGAAACTGCTATCTGAGCATAGAAGAGGTTTTAAACATGGCAAGCCAACTAGAATTAGATTTTATCTCACTATTAAAAGACATCATTGATGCTAATAATACAGTTACATACTCATGGTCAGTGGTATGTGAATCACAACAGATAACAATAACATCCAAAAGGCACTACAAAATATAGTGCAGTGGTGAACCACACTCATATTTGTGTTTGCTGTCATCATGGTTCTCTTCCCACGCCATGTTTCCTGTTTTCAGGAATTAAAGATTAAACTATCTTGCTATCTTCCTAAATGTTCTTCAGTATTGCATGTTACAATTTTATTTTTGAATATTGTGAAAAAACAAAAAACATAGTTAAATTTTTTTAATACACATGAGTAATGCTTCATTTTTTTGTCTTCGTGGCTCAACAATAAATAAATTAGAATGATGTATATGTTAAATAGGAGGGAAATTCCTACAATGTAGTAAAATAAAATAGGAACAAAAGATTCTAGAGGAAACTAGATAGGAAAGGAATTATAAATACAACAATGTGAATATATATTGCTTGAATACATATGAAACATAACATGAGATCTATTTCATGTAACAAACAATGTTTGTTACATTGTTTCAATAGCAAACAATGATTGAAGAATCTAACAGCATCCCCCCCCCCCAAATAGCCAATTTATTATGGCATAGGTTTCTATCAATCATTCAAGTGCTATTTTACAAACAAATGTTACCATGGCATATATACAGTAATACATCCAAATTATCACTCATTTCTTTCAATAATATGTCACATTCATTTTACTATATTCTTTCTATTATGGGTAAAGTANCTTCTTTTTGTAATATCTCTGTAATATTTCCATTAAGAAGTACATATGATGCTACTTAAGTCACAAGAGCATAGTTTGCGTGAATTGTTATCCAGAGTACCATAATTAAAAAGGGGATTTGTATTGCATGAAATTGTATCTGTATACATGGTTGTGTTTGCATCTGTTATGTATATAGTGCACCTGAGAAGAATTAAATGTATATTTTATAATATTTTTATAGAATGAAAATGTTTTTCTTCCTGGTCTTTTTATCAGCTGTCAAGATGAATGTCCAATTGGAACTTTTGGAATACAGTGTGCAGAGATCTGCCAATGCATGCATGGTGGAAAATGCTATCATATTAGCGGAGAATGTCTTTGTGAGCCAGGCTATACCGGAGTACACTGTGAAACAAGGCAATGTGCTGAAATAGTCTATGGTCTTAAATGCGACAAAAGGTGTCCCTGTCATTTGCCAAATACTTACAGGTACTTTAGATATTTTCTGTTATATCTCTGTGGGATCAACTTTTGTTTGCCAATTAGTCTTGGACAAATTTTTCAGTAGGTTTTTTTATAATGCTCTTATAATGCCACTCAACTATTGTGACAAATCACTAATGCAGGTGAACTTATATTGCCACAGCAAGAACAATATATCACCATGAATCAGTACTGAGAAGGCAAGAAATATAAGAATCTGAGGAAGGATTCATTTTTCGAGATATCCAGATATTGTACTTAAAGCTGTTCAGAAGGATTAAAAGCTTTGGATTTTTTTAAAAATAAATGCTTAAGAAATTGTGTTTTTTGCTATATGTTTCTCGTAGGAAAAATATATAGTATTAAGAATGTAGGTTTCATGACCTACTAATAAAAACAAAGTCACAGTTTATTTACTTTTCCTGACAAAGCTTTGGAAGCTATTACAGGTTGTCCTTGACCTACAACCACAATTGAGACCAACACAGTTGAGTCCATTGCTAAGCAAGACATTTGTTTAAGTGAGTTTTGCCCCTTTCTTGCTACAGTTGTTGAGTCACTGCAGTTGTTAAGCTATTAACATGATTGTTAAGTGAATCTGGNAAATAGCCAATTTATTATGGCATAGGTTTCTATCAATCATTCAAGTGCTATTTTACAAACAAATGTTACCATGGCATATATACAGTAATACATCCAAATTATCACTCATTTCTTTCAATAATATGTCACATTCATTTTACTATATTCTTTCTATTATGGGTAAAGTATGTGCAAGTATTTAGTTGAATAGTAAAGGTAGTCCTGCTGCTAATGTTGTTTTTCAGCCCTCTACAGATTTCTTTCCATTGTATTTAAAATTTGCATCAATTCTGAAACTGAGCAACAGACAAAACCACACCCACACAATCAAACCACTTGTCTCTTTCACAGAAAGGAAAAAATAGAGCTGTTTGCTTCTTCTGTACAACCCACAATCTATGTATATTCCTTTTATAAACATAACATAACCTTTGAAAACTATTTATGGAAATTAGTAGAACTGCATAGAATGAAAATTTGGGGAACTAAGGAAAAACAAATTGATTTGACTGGTCAAAAGAAAAAAGCATGATGCATCCATTGGAGCTTTTTCTTCTAATTGGATATTTCGTGAAGGAATAGGATGCAAAAAAGGGGATAAACTCATGATACCACTTTTAAAATGGATCTACAAGAATATAGAAAACTTGCTGCATGACATATTTTAGGATGTGGGTATAATGGGTAGGTAATTTGACCGATTACACATACCTATGTAATGGCTATAAACTGTAATTGTTGCAAGATCTAAGAACTCTATGGAAATGACTATGCCAGAAATATTGCACTATGTCCAACATTTTTAATGTTTGCCTAATAAAAACCTTTACAAATATAGAAAACTTGTTGCATGACATATTTTAGGATGTATGCTTTAGTCCTTTGTTTCAAAATTAATCAACACTTTCACCTTCTATGTATTCATTCACCCCATTAGCTCATGCCACCTTCATTCAGAATTATTACATTATTTCTCTTTGTCTTAATTTCATAGATCCACAACATACTGTAGCTCTTTCATGCACTTCATTTTTTAATTCATACTCTTATATATTTTCTTATATTACATTCTAAGTAGCATGCTATGATCATCATAGATGCTTTGCTGCTCAACATGCCCTTGGTCAGTTAAGGCTTTCAAATAATATTTTTAGTCAGATTAAGAAATTATGGACTGTAAAGTCCTTGAAACTGGTAAGGATAATACCAGTTTGTTTGGGCAGATTTTGTCAATTATAGCCAATCAAATTTGCTCACACTATTCCATGCAAATCTAGAAAAGAACTTGCAAGGCACTTATTGTTCTCCACATTCCCTCAATGTGGTTACATATGTAGTGTATTGATACACATTCAGAGTTATACATAATTTAATATTGAAAATGTGTTTTTAGATAAGGAGTGTGGAGGTAGGTAATATTTTTCTTGAATAAGAGAATACAGTGATAGCCTCATGAAAAGTTGCTTCTGCAGTCAATATTTTAAATGCAGTTTCTATGTAATAGTTAAAAAATCTAACACATATGATCCCAGGTATTGTTTTTGAATTTAACCAGGGTTATCTCAGCCTCTTTTAGTCATCCTTTTCCCACAGAAATTAATACCTCAAGTTAGTCAAGACCAGTTTAACTTACATGTATTTCAAAGACTTACTCTGGAACCAGCCCAATAGCTGAATGAAAGTCACAAATGAGCTTTGTAATAGAGTAGGGATTTGAAGTCAGGTAACTCAATTTAAAGGAACACTAGGCATGTTGTTTTCGAGTTATTTAATCAGTTCTGTTTCTTTGTGACTTGCTGGATTGTGTATCAATAACTGCTTCTTTGAATTCGTGTAAACTCTCATGCTTGTGACATCAGTAATAGTATCTATCCACATTGTCTGACATTTTTCATTGCCTTCAATTTTTCTAGGCAGCAGGATCTTCTCCGAGAACTCTTACTTTTGAGTTATGCGCTCAACAGTTGTAAGCTTTAGCTTCATTATTAGTAAATTAAGAGATCAACCTGTTTTACTTCATAAAACATTTGTCCTACTCTGATTTGAAGTACTTTTAACAATTTTCTTCAGCACCTCAATTCAAAGGACTCAAATTTGTCTTTGTCCAGCTTTTCAGATGGTACAGCTTTCAAAGCCATATGCCCCTATTGAGAAAGCTATCAGCTTTGTTAACAGTGTCTGATGTTGCTGCATTCAGGCATAAAATGTTGCTATTTGCTTGGTATATAGTCTGGACTGCAGGATGAAAAGAACATTCTAAAGAAAAAAATAGAATTGCAAGTACATAAACTCATATTCTGAATAATTTTCAAAACATCTGAAATAAACACAAATTATAAGTTGATGGAAAATCATATGGTAGATCCAAAGGTATAGTTTGGCTAGTTATTTTGTTTGAATTGTTCTTTGCAACCATCAGGTATTCTATGATTATTTTATGTTGTTTTATAGAAGAAAATATAACTGCATGCAATTCTGTTAAAATCAGCAGGAACTGGATTCAAATATTACAAATGTTCTTACAAATATTCTTTTCCATCAATTCTTGGATCCATGAAAGTTTTATTTTTTTCTATTTTCAAAAGATATTAAAAAAGAAAAGTGTAGGTGGAATGAAAAATCTAGAATAATCCTTCCATAGATTACATTGATGATTTATTTACTATTAACTCAAAAATATATTTTAAAACCATTAGAAATCTATGTAGACATCCTCAATTTTATACTGCAGTGTACAAAATCACAAACTTGCTTTTCATTTTGCAAATTTATGAATGCAATTTACAAAAAAAGTTAAACCGTCTAATAATATGTATTGAAAATTAATTATAAGTTATAAGTTATATTATAAGAAATATCTAATATGAATCTTTAAATGTACCAGAGTCCCAATAATAATTCTGATATTCCAATTATGTTTATACCTTGAAAAATATTTGTTTCCAAAACTTTTTTTTATAAAAACAGTTGCATTTATCATTAAAGTGCATGAGGTTTTATACTTTTCTTGTTGTTAATAGTGAATACATATTTTGAAAACCCCATGAATTTAATTTTATTTATTTAATGCATATTATAACCCCCAGTGTGAGTTTTTTGCTTGAGATATGTGTAAATGTTTGCTGTTACATATTTTAGGATCTTCCCAATATATATGAGAGAGTTCTAAAATAGTAGTCATTTGAAATTAAATGAATGTTCAAGAAAAATGTGAATTATGAGGTCTTCATAATATTTCTATTATTCATCATACAGTCACAAAGAGATATAATTAAGGGAAAACCACCATCACTTGTATTTTACAGTAATATGTTGTTTTGTTTTTGTTAGCATTAAAAAAATAAGTTAATTTGTAGTTCTAAGGTGGTTAAGCTCTGCCCCCCCAGCTCCCCATTCAATCATATCTGATTCGTAGAGACTTCCTGAACAAGTCTCTATGGTTTTTTTAGTAATGTTTTTCAGAAGCGGTTTGCAATTGTCTCTTTTCTAGAGCTGAGAGAAAGTGACNTCAGTGACTCCATCCAGCCACCTCATTCTCTGTCGCCCCCTTCTTCTTTTGCCCTCAATCTTTCCCAGCATTAGGCTCTTCTCCAGTGAGTCCTTGCTTCTCATTAGGTAGCCAAAGTATTTGAGTTTCATCTTCAGGATCTGACCTCCTAAAGAGCAGTCAGGGTTGATTTCCTCTAGGACTGACCAGTTTGATTGCCTTGTAGTTCAAGGGACTCGATATAGGTTTTATTCTAATTTTAAAATTTCTACTCCTTTTGACAGGGCAATTATTTTCAGAGTTTGCTTTAGAAAAACAGATATTTGCCTATTGTTTTAGTGTAGGCTCTTCCTGTAATCCTGGGAAAGAATGTTTGGTTCAAGGAAGTGTAGACAGATGTCACATTTGCAATCCTGCACAGTGCAGAGCATATTTTTGCTTTTGAATCTGAAGTATTGCACAATCCCCAGTATTTACTGCTTGTGAAAAGGGCCTTGCTTTGACTTGTTTGTACCTTTGAAACATGAGCAAATATATAAAATATCATTTAATGTGCACTCTAGCAGCTGTCTGTGTGGATCATTCACTGGATCCCAACAACACAGTACAGAGATTAGATTTTCCACATGTCAATGTTACCACAATGTTCCATAGTAATATTATTGCTAAAATATACGAAAAAGTTTTTTTTTAATATAGACTACATGTAGACTACAAATTTTTATAGTGGAATAAATAATATTATCCAAGTAATCATTCCCTTCATTCGCACCATTGTATGTGCTACAGGAATGCTAATTTAGAAGTGAAGCTCTTGGCATAGTTCTCTGAGTTCGAGGATTTCTTCAGAGCTGCTTAGCTGAAATTTATCACAACCATTTTCCTATTGCCTAGCAACTTGCAAAGGCCATAAAAGAGGTCTTTGTCCATTCTCCTGGCAAAACATTTCCTGACCGATCTGTTCAACAGGAATGAAATTAATGGACTTATTTGCTAATAATTCTTTTGTTTTAGAAAATGTATTTTAAATATTCAAGGTTTCTATAAAAAAAGCATCTGTGTCATTTTTAGTGTAAAAGCTTTCTATGCCAAGTACTCATGCAGTCATCTAGGGGCTGAAATATCTAAACATTAAGGCAGAGTTGCTTGCTGACATGTGGCCTTCAAAACAAGAATGTGGACAAATATGTTCCTTTTCCTGTTTGTGTTCCTAATTCTTTTAGCAGTGTTTAGTTAAATACATGTATTAATAAAGACATGTGTAAGAACAGAATTCATCAGGGAATTGCTCTGCATGTGTACAAAAATAATATATTTTCATTGCCAGTCAGATATAGTCATATTATACCAGTGGTGAAATTCATTTTTTTACTACCGTTCTGTGGGTGTGGCTTGGTGGGCATGGCAGGGGAAGTATAATGCAAAATCTCCATTCCCTCCCCACTCCNGCAATATGCTGACTCTGTAAACTACTTAGAGAGGGCTGTAAAAGTACTATGAAGCGGTATATAAGTCTAAGTGCTATTGTTATTTCAACTAAATATCATCATCATGCAGATGTTTCATTACCCAACTAGGTAACATCATCACACTGATAAGGTTATCTTTTTATTTTACAATCTAATTAAATCATTTTCTTTAACATTGCATTTTTCTTATCTTTTGTCAAATGCGTTCTAGGGTTCTGATTGTTCTATTCCTTGTCCTGTTGGAACATATGGAATAAACTGTTCATCTATATGTAACTGCAAAAATGAGGCTCTTTGTTCCCCAGTGGATGGTTCTTGTGTCTGCAAAGTTGGTAAGTAATCTAATTTACATTTTTGTACTATGAAAATCATACTAAACATTTTAATAAAACATATTAAATACTTTTAAAAGAATGACATAAACCATACCATGCTGCTACTTCCAGCACTCTCAGAATTAACTTTCACATTTTAATTCTATTCACTCCACTGCAGGTTCCTTCCTCTTGATCACACCAAAATGTTTTTTTAAAAAAAATATCTGTCAATATCCCAGTGTGTTTTCCCTGATTTTTAATCATATTTATTCCTTACTTTCTTTGGCTACTTATTTTGCAATTAACTCTCTCTTGATATAGTTGATAGTATTTGCATCATCCTTGCATATATTTTTCTTGTGCATAGCAGTTATTCTATTTCCTTTCTTCCCTTTGCATTTTTCTTTTTGTTGCCTGAAATTGCTTGATGACATTTGTAGATCTAAAGACTTTGTATCAATAACTACATGTTGTGAAGTCAGTTGCAACTTACATAGTGAATTGCAGCTCACAAAATCTTATGTCTTGTAAAAACAAAGGCTAGATGGAAAAGATGGTGTTTGACTCCTGTTTTGTTTTTGGTTTTTTTGCTGCCATAGACTAACACAGCCATCCTCCTATAATTCTGGCAAGTGAATGATATATGTAAAAATAGCTTCCTATTCAAAGCCTGAAAAGGTGCTTATCAGCTCTCAGTTGTTCTTATGAAGTAAGGTCTTAGAACTCTATACTAAAAAGAGGCATTTTCCTTTTACTGTGTCAGGTTGGCATGGAGTGGACTGCTCTATAAATTGTCCTAGTGGGAGATGGGGTCTTGGCTGTAATTTAACATGTCAGTGCCTTAATGGAGGAGCATGTAATATTCTGGATGGAACCTGCACATGTGCTCCAGGTTGGAGAGGAGAAAAATGTGAATACCCCTGTCAGGTAATAAAGCAGACTCTACTGAAAGCTTGATTTGGAGATTGCAATAATATAATGCCTTGATAAATGTATTGAATATTACAATATTATATGTTGTATTTTTAAATAAAACATGTCTATATCATCAGAGGTATTGTAGTATGAAAAATAATAGTTAATAGCAATAGCACTTATATACTGCTTCATAGTGCTTTACAGCCCAGTATAAACGGTTTATAGAATCAACATATTGCCCCCAACAATCTGGGTCCTCATTTTACCTAGTTCGGAAGGATGGAAGACTGAGTCAATCTTGAGCCAGTGAGATTTGAACTGCTGAACTGTAGCTAGCAGTCAGCTGAAGTAGCCTGCAGTACTGCACTCTAACCACTGTGCCACCTCAGCTCTAATCCATATAGTCCATTAACTATGGCACAAGGATGTTATCCCATCCCTTTTATAGGACACATCTTCAGTGTGCAGACTTTGATTTATCCTTAGTCCATCATCATGTTGGCATTTTAAATTTGTTCTTTGATGTTTCAGTTTGAAGCAATTTTTCCATGTCTTCCTACACTCACCTTGAAGTATAAATAATGTAGAACACCTCATTCATGAGCTTGGGAATAAATGAATGATGGAAGAAAGAAATATGTTTCATTCACAAATCAAATCTCTTATTAGGTCAATAATATAAGGCTTGCATGTTAACTGCACTAAAATAAATTTAATATCATTTCATTTTCTTCCTGGCAGGATGGCATGTATGGCCTGGACTGTTCAGAGCGCTGTGATTGTAGTCATGCAGATGGATGTCATCCAGTAACAGGTTATTGCCGTTGCCTCCCAGGATGGTCAGGTAAATTTGACATTGTTGTAACAATAGGACAGTGCCATCCAAATTTTGATTCAGCTTAGCCAACCTTGGGTAAATTAATAGCATTTTGATCAATATATGAAAGTTTTAGGATATATTCTATTTTAATCACAATGAGTCCAAATATATGTGGTGCAATTCAGATTAATTGCATAAACCTTTCTCAGAAAATAGACATAGAGTAATTCTCTGGAATGGAATAATTTTATCTAAATAATTGTAAGCCTTTAACCTTTCATGACAGAATCCCATTGATTGATTGTGTGCCATCAAGTTGCTTTCAACTCCTAGCTTTAAAAATCTAAATTTTCTCCATAACATAACTCTTACACAATACTTATTTTCTTTGCAACAATGTAATATTTAAAAGGCATATACAAAGTGCAGTAAATTACTTCCTATTTTTCTGAATAGAATACACATGAACATATATATTAATAGACTACTGCATACTGCAGTGGCTGAAGTTTTGAAATTTAATTGCTTCCATTCTTGTAAGAATTCAAATTATTAAAAATATACTGGTAGAGTATTGTCAGAAGATTGTCAATCATCCAAGTAGCACTATCTAAAAATTGAGTCACGGCAACTGAACTTGTTTTTTTCTAGTTTGAGACATTTTGTTGCCCAACATTTCAAACCAACAAAAAATAAGTCCAGTTGCCATGACTCAATTTTTTAGACAGTGGTACCTGGATGATTGACAATCTTCATCAGCATATTGTCATGCACTTTGGGGAAGAAACTGGAAGTTGGTGTGGCAATATCCCTAAGAATTTTAGGGGCTGGAACCTTCTAATGACTGTCTGCCAACTCGGATTCCCCTAACCAACTTGTTCAGACTGTAAAATAGTTTGGATGGGCAGTAAAACATGGGATGTCAAACCAACAAAAAATACATGCAGAATCTTCATGGACAGGCAAGGGTATTGTTTGTGTTCCAAGGACATCCATCTTAGTACAACCTGGAAACCCTAATTAAAAATGTCATTGCATTCTCCAGTCTCCAGCCTCTGTTATATTGTATTCTGGGGATTATGCCTCTGGTACTGTCAAACTAGAAAGGTATGGCAATTTGATCAGAAAGAAAACTCAGATTAATCAGCCAATCTCTAAAAAAAAAACATAGTAGTCTCATATGGTCAAATGTTATATTATAGCTATTGTAATAGGGTTGCTTCCAAATTGTGATTCTTAGATCTATCCTAAAGTTGTTTATTCTAGACTTTTAAGTTTCATATTATACCATGTTACTAAAACTGCACCACTCTATTTTTATTAGCAAGTATTTTAAAATATATTTCTATCACCATCTTCACAGCAAAAATTACTAGAATTACAGTACATATATTGATTTAATTGCGTGGTTAGAATATTTAACAAGATACAAAAAAAATGGCTCACACACTCAACTTTATCACAACTACAACTCTGATGCTAGCAGAAAAAAATATCAGTGTTACATCTACAAAGTTAATCTTGGCAACTCTTCTGTAATCTGACAGTACCCTATAGAGCTGTTTCTGAAAATATGCTTTCTATTTACTGGCTTTCTTAATTAATGCAAATGTGGCATTTCATTATTTTGTTCACGTGAATAGATGTTTTTCTTTCTTTCTCTTTCCTAATTTAATAAAAAGTTCTTACTGTGTTCTAAAAATCACACAACATCACAAGTTTGAGATACAGCTATTTTAAAGCGCATCTTCATCTTTCATAGTTCACATTCACACATGCCAGAATAAGTGTTATGTTTGACTATAGTGCTATTTGTCTTGGGCAAGAGTGCTTTTGAAACATCCAGTACCAGCAAAGTTATCTTGTTTGTATCATGTTATATATCTAGATATTACTGAGATGATTCTTTATTTTTGTCAATATTTCAATCCAAGTAGGCTGTATTTATTTACTTAGAACATATACTGTACTTAAGAAATGAAATAAAAACACTCTAAAACCAACTGTTCACAACTACAGATAGCAGACCTTAAAATGTATAAAGATGTCTTAATAGGATATTTTGCACTTATTACAGTACAATCTGATAATACAGTAACAGGCCAAAATGTAAGGATTTGTAATACTTGTTATCCATGACAGCTATATTTCAGATTTTATTCAGTGTCCATCACTAAGCAAAGTGACTTTGATTCCATTTCCCAGGATAATGAGAAATTTAGATCAATCCTTTGGATTACAAATTTCTTTAAATTTGGAATGCAGCTCTAAGATTTAAAAAAAAACCACAATTGTATTACAATTGACATTGTCAGTTCTTGTTCTTGCACCTTGGCTGCAAGAGCCAAGGTGGCGCAGTGGTTAAAGTGCTGTACTGCAGCCACTTCAGCTGACTGTTATCTGCAGTTCGGCGGTTCAAATCTCACCGGCTCAG